TCATCGATTGCTTGCAACATGTCAAGTTTATCTGTGCTGATTTGTAGAAATAAAGAGAGGTAGCAAATCTCTAACCTATTAGCTGACACAGTTAAACTAGTCGTAGAAGTAACTTGTCAGCTCCTTTGAGCATGTGTGTTCCTGAGCAGCACGAAGCCCAAGCAAAGGAAAATGAGCCTTAAACTCCTGGATTTTTTTTAATGTCTGATGCCTCTTCAGAGTCTCAGTGCTCCCAGTTAGCTCTTGGTCTGACTCATTCCACTTCTTAAAAAATTTCCTACTTCCTGATGTTTCAGAGCCTGGGTCCAACCACTTAATAAGCCAACAAGCATATTTAAAAAAAAAAGACGGAAAGGTAAAGCTGTGTAAGTCAAAGCATTAAATTCTGTAACATTTATACAAATGTTAGGAAAACATCAGTTCCAATTACCACTGCCAGACACGTGAATGAAACCACAGGTAAAGACTTTGGTTTAGCTCTTGTCCTCAATTTTTAATTTTAAATATTAAAACGGAGTTGTTTCAAGATACTATAATATAAATTGCCTATATAGGTCACCAAGCACTGCGCCTGCCATAACAACTTAAACCACCTTTTGTGTTTTTCTGTTCGTTTTCTTCCTGTTATACTATAATTTGCTCCTATTTAATATTTAATACAGATTATTGTTGCAATGAAATTGGTTTCAGAATTTTACTTGTGTTTTTGACTCATTGATTAACTGGGATGGTTTATCGGCAGGAATGATGGGTGTGCAATTTACAGGCTCTGACTTTGTGGTTGGAAGCCCTGCTTTTGGTGAAGGATGGGGATGGGGAAGGGGGAAAGGGAACAAAGCAGACTTTATTTCCAAAACTAATGATGATCTTCAATGCCCAACGTCTTCTGAGTTTGCTCATCTCGGTCACAATGTGATCAAAATGATGGAGTTGATGAAGTTGGCTTGCCCATGATTAACCAACCCTCCAAGAAGTGAAGATGCATCTCAAGGTTACTGTTTGGAGCAAAAGACAAACCATAGAGAACATTATAACAAAAATAATCAGGTTTTCGCTTCATTCACTTGGAACACTTCTGCTATTAAAACATTGGAGGTGAGAGAATAGGCTGTTGCACACAGTCGCCCAATTGGATAATGATGAGTCTGTTTGCTTTCCAACACTTTTTGGAAGATGGCGCACTGAGAGGATGGACGCGTTCAGTGACATTGACTGGAGAATGGGACGTAGGGTGGTTGAAAGCATGGGGTCATATACTGCAACCTCCAGACTGAATCCGATCAGAGATGGGTTGACCAGAGTTTCACCTTCTGACCATTGCTCTGTATGCTACGATGTTTAGTTTGGACCAGTTTAAGCTCAGTTGTGATGCAATCTGCAGCTTAATATCCTGCCTCTAAGTGCTGAAATTCATACGTAAAGTAGCCATTTGGATAATGTGTCTGTGCATTCTGCCTTCTCCAACAGCTCCACAGCAACCTGAAGCTGCAAAAAGGAGGGTAGTTTCTATGAGAAGATGACATGGTAATGATGTTACTGTATTACTGATCCAGAGGCGCAAGCTGGGAACATGAATTCGAATCACACCATGGCAGTAATAAATCTGGAACTGAAAGCTACTCGTGCATGCTTGCTACTATTATCAATTGCTATAAGATTCACTAATACCTTTCAGGGAAGGAATTCTGTCATCCTTATCTGGGCCGGCTGTTAATGCGACTCCAGATTACAGCAGTGTCGTTGACTCTTAACTGCCGTCTGAAATGGTCTAGCAAGTCACTCAAAGATAATTAGAGATGGGCGGCAAGTGTGGCTGTGATCACAACATCCATTATCCCATAAAGTGGGATGAAATTCTTCTCCTCGGATGTTTGAAGGCCACCCCCTCCCCAACCAAAGGTGAATGAGCCTTACATCCTTTATGTGAGTTCTGTTTTATTGCCATGGGTATGAAGGATGGTGCCTGGGGTTTGGGGTAGTTGAAAGCAAAAGATCACATGGTGCAAACTTCACAATTATATCTGACTGGAGATGGCAACCCTATCTCCCCTCAGTAAAGGTGAGAAAAACAGGTGGTGTTTATATGGAGCAGAGAAATTTAAGGGGATCAATGCCAAGTATTCAAAGTAATGGACAGGTTTGGGTTTCGGGATAGCAAATTATGAAAAGTCGTTCTGAGGAAGGATCACTGGACCCGAAATATTAACTCTGATGTCACTCCACAGATGCGGCCAGACTGGCTGAGCTTTTCCAGCAATTTCTGATTTCCAGCAACCGCAGTTCTTTCGGTTTTTATTTAATGAAAAGTAGTTTCAATGGTTGACCGAACTAGTGACTGGAATTAAAGAGGAAAGGGAAAAAGATTATTTTTCCACAAAGGGTTGTTAATGTGTAGAATGAATTGGATGTAGGAAAGGGGAGGTTGTTGAATCTGAGCGATGCATCGTGTTTGAGGGGTACATCTGAAGAGGCAAAATATCAAACACTAGGGTGGTCTGCAGAGCTCACAGGAGTGCAATAGGCTATAGTATTACCGTTTCTGTAATTCCTGGGCAGATGGGATTGATTGGATAGATTACCAGGGAATGATCATAAGCATGATGAGTCAAATGGTCTCTTCCTTTGCAATATGATTCGAAGTTCCATACAAGCACAGTGATTTAAAATTCACTGCAAACCTAATAGCCAATCACAGTGCAATCCTTAATGCTACTGAC